ATGCACCAAAATTGCGGCCACCTATCTGCCGATAGGAAAAATGTAGCTTATACAGGTGCCGATACAGGGGATTGTGTGTACTGCAGATGTGAGGGGCGACGGCAGAGAAAGGCAGGAGAGAGCAGTGTATATAGTGACTGGCTGTCACTGTATGTCAGTGCTGGTTTTTAAATTTAATTGCCGGCTTTTTTTTTTTCTTCACTATAGCTCACGGAATTAGCTGTCACATTTTATTTTGGCATGTATCATAACCTGGGTGACTCTATTTTTCGTAGCGACCACACTGAGTACCAGTGTCTTCCATGCTTTGGCTATTGTCTGCTTTACAGCAGTTGTGATAAAGAAGAGGAGGTGGCATTGGTTTCTAGTCATCTCCAAGGGTTTAGCCAGTTGCCGCCTGGCCTATAGCCAGATGGCGGCCGGGCGAACAGCTCGTCCCTCCGGGTGGCCACCATATGGCGTCCTTTCAGGAACGCACATTGTGCATGCCCACAGGGCCGCGCTGTGGCGCGATCTGTCATCGGCCATGTACCTCGGACACGGCCGATGACAGATCTGTGTACCGGCCCCGTTGCCAGTACCATCTGACCTGCTGTGACCAATCACAGCAGGTCACATGACAGTTGTATACAATGGATGGCTTCCTTTCATGCCATCCATTGTATACAAGTGTGTCTAGCTGTGAATGGTCAAAGCGATCACATGCACAGGCTGGGCCAATCACAGCCCAGCTGTGTCATGTGATTAGCCGTGGCCAAATCACAGCTAAGCACAAAAAGAAAACCCTGAATGAATCGATTTCATTCAGGTAAATGCTTGCTTATAGCAAATTAATTCTTTGCTATTAGCAAATTGTGTAAAAAAAAAAAGTACTGATCACTTCCCCTAAGTAGAACAATGTTACTATGGTATCATTATACTACTTTGGTCATAGTGAAATATTAAAAAAAAAATCTTAAAAAAAGAAAAAATGTAATAAAAAATTTAAAATAATAAAACAAATAAAAAAAATTATAAATTTTTTTTTCGTTCTGTCACCAGTCAGTGTCCCTAATCACCGCCATGCCAGTTATATGATGGTGCTGTACTGCACTGGTGACAGTATGTAAAAAAAAAATAGTGAAAATCATTTTTTCAATTTCTTCATTTTCCAAAACATTATGACAAAAAAATTACAACTTCAAAAACTTGCCATGCTTGTTATGAAATACGTTGGACTGTCTACTTTGCAAAAAGGGGGTCATTTGGGGGATATCATCTGTACTGTTCTGACATTCTTGGACCTCAAGAAATTAGATTGGCTGTCAGTACTTCTGGATTGATCAATTTTCAGATATATCCCATAGTTTGTGAACTTTATAACTTTCCTACAGACTAAATAATACATACTAATTTGGGTTATTTTCACCAAAGAAATGTAATAGAATACATCTCGGCCTAAATGTATGAAGAACAATTATTTATTTGCAAACTTTTATAAGAAAAACGTGGGGTTTTTTTTCAAAATTTTCGGTCTTTTTTTGTTAATTTAGCAAAAAATAAAAACCCCAGTGGTGATTAAATACCACCAAAAGAAAGCTCTAGTTGTGTGAAGAAAATGATAATATTTTAGTTTGGGTACAGTGTTGTATTACCGCGCAATTGTCATTCAAAGTGTGAGAGCATTGAAACCTGAGAATTGGCTTGGGCAGGAAGGAAGTAAAAGTGCCCTGTATGGAAGTGGTTAATGTTTAACAGGGCTATTCGTGGATTGGGTGAACTAAACTTGTCAAATAATGAAGACAGGAAAAAGTGTCTTTACAATAGGACTGTACAATGGGACAAGGCCACCATGTATGTAGATATGTAACTGGCTGCCAGCATCCTCGAAAACAGGCAGATAGGAAGCCCAGGACATATTTGGCTATCCTATGAAGCACTAGATACCAGCGGGATAGATCTTTATAAGACGGGGGCAGCACAGTGGCTAAATGGTTAGCACTTCCACCTGGCAGTACTAGGGTCGTTGGTTCGAATCCCAACCACGGCACCACCTGCCTAGAGTTTGCATGTTCTCCCTGTGCCTGTGTGGGTTTCCTCTGGGTACCCTGGTTTCCTCTAACACTCCAAAGACATGCTGGTAGGTGAATTGGATCTTGTCTAAATTGGCCCTATTATGTGTATGTACAAATGTAAGTTAGGGACCTTAGATTGTACACCCCTTGAGGGTTAGGGACTGATATGATTGTACAATATATATGTAAAGTTCTGCATAAATTGACAGTGCTATATAAGTACCTGAAATAAATAAATAAGATGTTTCCAAAGCAGCAACATTTGGAGAAACCACAATGCTCTGGGGAAAGATCTAGGGCTAGATTTGTAGTCCATTTAGCAACATAGGCTGGTAGTGGTGGCTGTGGGAAGGATAGCAATGTTGTGTACAATTTAGGAATAACACCCTTAGCGTGTTGATCAGATGCACAAAAGTGTTCATATACAGACATGGTAGACAAATGTGTAGCCACAAAAAGTGGTTAATTTGCAAGTACCTAAAGATCTCTGAATTGAGGAGTTTATATCACTCTTGTAGGATCGGGAATGATTTAAAACCTTTGGAAGACCCAAGGCAGTGTAGTCAAGTGATGCGTAAGAATGTCCAAGGGAGCGTTTACTAACATTTTAATGATCAGATCCATCAGGTGCTCTATCTTTCCCCAAAACATGCAGCCTACGTTGACTAAAAAAACTGTTACTGATATGCAAATTATGATTTTTGTAAAAAATACAAAGTTAAGCCCTCATGTCCATCATTAACCACTTTTTTTGGCCACTAATACATGCACAGAGCAATGTCACTGAAAAGGCACAGGTGTCTTTGGGGTGTTGGATGCGATAGTCAGCCCAACTTTATCTTTTCTATGCCTTTTGAGAGACAAGATGGTGGTGTCTAAAGTAGGGAATAACTGAGTCTTGGCACAGACTAAAGTAGAGTTGTTGCTTGCGAATGATGCACCAGTGAATTGTTTAAAAGCTGAGTAGTTCATAATTGACAGCAATATCTGTGAGCATTGGCAAAGGAAACACTTGAGTTCAAAACCATTTCTATCTTTTACAGTCTAAAGAATAAAGTCAACTTTATACAAAAAATGCCTTAAATATTTTTCCGTTATGTTTCCATTATACTTTGTACATAATGCTTATGGGAGTCTTTCTATGTTCCTGATGTATTATTACAGCGAGTTTGCTGTTTCAGTATTTCAAAATAACAGTGTAGAGTTATATCATTTAGTAAAAAAAGCAGCAACATTACTTCATCAACTGCTTTCCCTGTAAATACTTCTAACTACTTTAAGTGCAGCACATGATACATATGCTTTTTACAAATAAATTACACTGTCTGGCAATACAAATATATTTACACATGAAATGATCCAGGCCACCCTCTGAATACTCCTTCATGATATTGTGACTAAGTCTGACAGATATGCGTCTTTGTAGATAAATTGAAATGATGTGATTTATATTTTTCCTTAGAACAGAATAAATGCATGTCCTCTATGTAACCTGTCAGATATTATGGGATTCTGCTATTTCTACTATAAAGAATGTCCCCTCTGTAACCTTTATACCATAATGGGCCTAACTCACAAAACTTTCTAACGGATGAACTGTCTCAGACAACTCCAATCTAGCAACAAACCTATACTGAGGGAAATACGTAGATTGACATTGCTGACATCCTTCTGAAAATTCTAGTGAAGCTGGCAATACACTGTTCGAATTTCTCCCATTTCCTGATGAACTATCAGGAATTTGTCTAATGGGTGGCCTTGTTCGACCCCTGCTGTTCGACATCTTCCTTTTGATAAATCGAAGGAGTCAAGTGGAAAATTTTCAAACAAACAGTGACTGCATTCAATTAGATGCAACCACCATTCAGGTATTCTAAATGCCAAAAGGGGATTTTCCCCCTTCTTTGAAGAAATGTATTCTTATTTTTCCTGTTGTGTCTCCATGACAAGAAGTAAAGGAAAATCTCCCTAAAGCTGCATATTTGCAGTTTGAGTCCATCTAAAGCACTGCTGCCTCTAAATGCTACTATCACTAATTTGGAGAGGTCATTACTGTGCTGCTCCCCGTTCTCTATGCAGGACAGAAAGATGCACCTAAGGACCTGCAGACAAGCATTTCCCTCTTCTGTTCTGTGGATGTCTGCTTCCTGTACCTGTCAGGGCTCCCGGGTATGACCAGAGGTGTGTGACTGACGCAGGGAAACGCAGACTTCCGATAAGTTATAAACAATTTATTAACACTAACAATACAAACATAAACGCAGTGCAATACTAAAACATAACACAGTGCAAACGAACCAAACCAAACCACCCACAGATAACAGTACATACAGTGCAAGCGTCGTCAGGCAGGCCGGGTCAATATCAATCGGGCAGGTAGGTACAGGGGGAGCAAGCGGAGAATAGTCAGGTCACGAGCAGGGTACAACAACTAACAGGCAGGTAGGTACAGGGGGTCAGGCAGAGAATGGTCGGGGTCACAAGCCAGGGATCAGAACAGGAGAAGTCAGCAGGCATCGGGCCCCCAGGAGGGGCGACAGGCACCGGGCCCCCCGGCGGGGCGACAGGCATCGAGCCCCCAAGCGGAGCGGCTGGCGCCGGGCCCCCAGGAGGGTCAACAGGCATCGGGCCCTCAGGAGGGGCGACAGGCATCGGGCCCCCAGGAGGGGTGACAGGCACCGGGCCCCCCGGCGGGGTGACAGGCATCGGGCCCCCAAGCGGAGCGGCGGGGCGCCGGGCCCCCAGGATGGGCGACAGGCATCGGGCCCCCAAGCGGAGCGGCGGGCGCCGGGGCCCCCAGGAGGGGTGACAGGCATCGGGCCCCCAGGAGGGGCGACAGGCATCGGACCCCCAGGAGGGGCGACAGGCATCGGGCCCCCCGGCGGGGCGACAGGCATCGGGCCCCCAAGCGGAGCGGCGGGGCCGGGCCCCCAGGAGGGTCGACAGGCATCGGGCCCCCAGGAGGGGCGACAGGCATCGGGCCCCCAGGAGGGGCGACAGGCATCGGGCCCCCAGGAGGGGCGACAGGCACCGGGCCCCCCGGTGGGGCGACAGGCATCGGGCCCCCAAGCAGAGCGGCGGCGCGGCGGGCCCCCAGGATGGGCGACAGGCATCGGGCCCCCAAGCGGGGCGACAGGCATCGGGCCCCCAGGCGGAGCGACAGGTCTCGGGCCCCCAGGCGGAGCGGCGGGCGCCAGACCCCCAGGCGGAGCGACAGGTCTCGGGCCCCCAGGCGGAGCGGCGGGCGCCGGACCCCCAGGCGGAGCGACAGGTCTCGGGCCCCCAGGCGGAGCGGCAGGCGCTGGACCCCCAGGCGGAGCGACAGGTCTCGGGCCCCCAGGCGGAGCGGCGGGCACCGAGTCACCAGGCACGACAGTGGGCACCGAGTCGTCTGGCAAGACTGCGGGCACCGAGTCAACTGGCGGAACAGCGGGCATTGAGTCAACTGGCGGAACTGCGGGCATCGAGTCGTCTGGCAAGACTGCGGGCACCGAGTCGTCTGGCAAGACTGCGGGCACCGAGTCGTCTGGCAAGACTGCGGGCACCGAGTCAACTGGCGGAACAGCGGGATCGAGTCAACTGGCGGAACTGCGGGCACCGAGTCATCTGGCGGAACTGCGGGCACCGAGTCGTCTGGCAAGACTGCGGGCACCGAGTCGTCTGGCAAGACTGCGGGCACCGAGTCGTCTGGCAAGACTGCGGGCATCGAGTCAACTGGCGGAACAGCGGGCATCGAGTCAACTGGCGGGAACTGCGGGCACCGAGTCGTCTGGAAAGACTGCGGGCACCGAGTCGTCTGGCAAGACTGCGGGCACCGAGTCGTCTGGCAAGACTGCGGGCACCGAGTTGTCTGGCAAGACTGCGGGCACCGAGTCGTCTGGCAAGACTGCGGGCAACGAGTCAACTGGCGGAACAGCGGGCACCGAGTCGTCTGGAAAGACTGCGGGCACCGAGTCGTCTGGCAAGACTGCGGGCACCGAGTCGTCTGGCAAGACTGCGGGCACCGAGTCGTCTGGCAAGACTGCGGGCACCGAGTCGTCTGGCGGAACTGCGGGCACCGAGTCGTCTGGCAAGACTGCGGGCACCGAGTCATCTGGCAAGACTGCGGGCACCGAGTCGTCTGGCAAGACTGCGGGCACCGAGTCATCTGACAAGACTGCGGGCACCGAGTCGACTGGCAAGACTGCGGGCACCGAGTCGTCTGGCAAGCGGGCATCGAGTCAACTGGCGGAACTGCGGGCACCGAGTCGTCTGGCAAGACTGCGGGCACCGAGTCGTCTGGCATTGGATCGTCTGGCTCGACAGCGGCATCGGGTCACCAGGTATGACAGCGGGCACTGGGTCACCAGGCATCAGGTCATTTGGCTCGCCAGCGGGCACCGCGTCATCTGGCAAGGCAGTGGGCACCGAGTCACCAGGTACGACAGCGGGCTCTGAGTCAATTGGCACGACAGCGGGCACCGGATCAGGTACCCGGATCATCTGGATCAACAGCGGGCATCGAGTCAACTGGCCTAATAGGATCATCAGGCTGGATCAGTTCATTATGCTGGTTAGAAGCATCCGGCTGAGTAGAGGCATCCAGCTGAGTAGAGGCTTCAGGCTGAGTAGAGGCTTCAGGCTGAGTAGAGGCTTCAGGCTGAGTAGAGACTTCAGGCTGAGTGGAGGCATCAGGCTGAGTGGAGGCTTCAGGCTGAGTAGGGCTTCAGGCTGAGTAGAGGCTTCAGGCTGAGTACAGGCATCAGGCTGAAGAGAGGCATCAGGCTGAACCACGGAAGGCAGGTTCTCAGACGGTAGGCTCACCGGTTTGGATACTGGCAGGATGGTATTGGTTGGAAAGAATTTTTTCGCTTTTTTCTGGTTTTAACTACTGGAGCACTGCAAGTAAACGCAGGTCTGCAAATGAATGGAGCAGCTGGAGACAGAGAAGAGCTGGAGGATGGAACAGGGGAAGGAACAGTCGCTACAGAGGGCTTCTTTACAGGGTTAAAGGCAGGATAGGTGCAGCGAGTGGGAACAGGGTACTGACATGCGGTAGATAGCCAAGTATACTGGGCTGTAACTGGAGGAGCTGTTGGGAATACAGGAGTAGAGCTTTGAGGAGATAGATTAGAAGCAGGACTGGGTCTTTGTAAGCTGACTGAGGCTGGGTGTAACAAATCTGTCCATGTCTGCAGTATGGGTTGAACAAAGCTGAGCTTACACAAAGCCTGTCTGACCAAAGACTGCACTGCGTTTATACAATCTCTTAGTGTCTGTGGTGAACATGTGGAATAACGCTCCAGAAAGTAACCCACATCATCTTCTAATAAACCACACCAGGGACTCTACCTGGTCTGCACTAAATGGTGGCAAAAAATTCATCCCTGCATTCGGGGGAACCAGATGAAACCAACTCAGCACAAACCTCAATCAATGGCTGCACCTCAGAGAACTCTGTGCCCTGATCTACTAGAACATGAGCGAGCCGTATACATTCTAGCAGTTCATCCCGGGTATACTCCTTCAGAGTTTGATAAGCATAGCTCTCCCTGTCATCAAACACTAGCAGATATAAATACGCAACCTCATCCAGATCCATCCTTCCCATCAACAAACCAAGATGGCTTCCCTGTGCAGCCACTTCTGGTCAGGATTGGCCTTGGTGTAATGTCAGGGCTCCCGGGTATGACCAGAGGTGTGTGACTGACGCAGGGAAACGCAGACTTCGATAAGTTATAAACAATTTATTAACACTAATAATACAAACATAAACGCAGTGCAATACTAAAACATAACACAGTGCAAACGAACCAAACCAAACCACCCACAGATAACAGTACATACAGTGCAAGCGTCGTCAGGCAGGCCGGGTCAATATCAATCGGGCAGGTAGGTACAGGGGGGGAGCAAGCGGAGAATAGTCAGGTCACGAGCAGGGTACAGCAACTAACAGGCAGGTAGGTACAGGGGGTCAGGCAGAGAATGGTCGGGGTCACAAGCCAGGGATCAGAACAGGAGAAGTCAGCAGAGGTCAGAATCAAGCCGGGTCAGCAACAAGACAGGAACAGGAGCAGGAGCAGGAGCAGGAGCAGATGCAGGATGCAGGAACAAGATACAGGGCCCAGGAAAAACACAACACCAAGGCAGAGTCTGCAGGTCTGAATGTCCCTTAAATACACCAGTATAAATTAGTTCCAGGTGTTTGACTGGCTGCAAGGTTGAGTCTCTGATTGCTGGGAGCACCCGCTGGCCAGCCCTGGTACTGCAGCTCACAAGGCAGGTGAGTCCCACTATTGCTGGCCAGTCCATTCCTGACAGTACCTCTCCTGCTGCTTCTTAAATATGACCCCCCAAGTCATAAGCTTAGCAATCGTCAGGGGGAAAGCTCCAACATAAGGAAGCAAAGCCCAGGCTCTACCAAGGTGCTACCTCCACACAAAAACATAATGAGAAAAAGGCAAGGCTTTAAAGTGGTTGTAAACTCTTTTTTATACTTTTACCTACAGGTAAGCTTATAATAAAGTTTACTGTTAGGTAAAATGAATATCTCCTAAACATGCACTGTTTAGGAGGTATTTGCTCTTTTTGAGAGCCAGCACATGCGCTCTGAAGGAATGTGGCGTAGCCCGGGACTCCCATGAGTATGACCAGGAAGAATGTCATCGTGGCTTGGCCTGTCAGACGGCCAGAAGTTGCGAACCCGGAAGGAAGACCGGGTGAAGATGGAAGCCTCTGCAGTGGTGAAAGCATGCCACTGGGTATTAAGGTAATGTGCCTGTATGCTAGCAAATTATGACATTACCTTGCAGGGGATTTTTTTTTTAAGCTGCAGTTTACTACCACGTTAATTGTTCTCAACACCAGACGTTTATTAAAATTCAGGTGCCCAGGCAAGCTGGGGTGCTTTAAGGTTTCTTCTGGGGTGCCTAGAGATGTACAATTTCTGGAAATGTTTAAATTGTGGGAAAAGCATTTTTTCCCTGTTTTTTTCCAGGAAAATTTTACATTTTTGGAAAAATTGTAAACAAAAGTGTGGGAGTAGTTTAAAAATTGAAAGTCATTTGTTACACTTGGAATATGAAATGCAGTGTATATAAAAGCATTTTGTTTGAAATAAAAGTACAACTTATTTCAGTAAATAAAGTAAACTTGCTTTTTAAAATATGTGATCCAGAAATAGCAAAGTTTCTGAAATGAGAACTCTGGAGGTGAAAGCTACTTGCACTTTCACTATTATTATTATTATACAGTATTTATAAAGCGCCAACAGTTCGCTCAGCGCTGTACATTACAATGGGAGACAGAACATGCGACAGTACAATAACAATACAATGCGATACACGAGGGGTTCGAGGGCCCTGCTCCTTGGAGCTTACAATCTAGGAGGGAGGGGATAGTGGTACAGGAGGAAATAGCTGTGGGGGATGGAGTGGTAGAAAGAGTGGAGGAGGTTGGGAATTTAGCAGGGTGGGGTAGGCTTCCCTGAAGAGGTGGGTTTTCAGGATGCGCCTGAAGGAGAGGAGAGTAGGTGATTGTCTGATGGATTGGGGTAAGGAGTTCCAGAGTATTGGTGACGCCCTGGAGAAGTCCTGGAGGCGGGCTTGAGAGGAGGAGACCAGGGACTAGAGAGAAGGAGGTCCTGTGAGGAGCGGAGAGAGTGCGTGTAGGGTGGTACTTGGATATTAGGTCGGTGATGTAGTTTGGGGCAGTATGATGGACAGCTTTGGACGTCAGCGTTAGGATTCTGATTTGATCTGTTGGGCAATCGGAAGCCAGTGGAGGGATTGGCAGAGGGGGGTGCCGGAAACGGAGCGGTTGGTAAGGCGGATGAGTCTGGCTGCTGTATTCAGGATCGACTGAAGTGGGGATAGCCTGTGGCAAGGCAGGCCAGTGAGGAGGGAGTTGCAGTAATCGAGTCGTGATATGATGAGGGAGTGGATGAGCTGCTTAGTGGTTTCTGGGGTTAGGAACGTGCGTATTTTGGCGATGTTGCGGAGGTGGAGTTTGCATGAGTTTGCTAGTGATTGGACTTGGGGCTGGAAGGATAGATTGGAGTCAAGAATGACACCAAGTACTCTGGCCTGCGGGGCGGGCCTGATGGTGGCATTGTTGGACGTGATGGAGAAGTCAGTGGGGGGTGGTGTGTGGGCTGGGGGGAAGACTAGGAGCTCGGTTTTGGAGAGGTTCAGTTTAAGGAAGTGGAGCGACATCCAATCTGATATGTCGTGCAGTAGGCTAGTGATTCGGGCAGAGACAGAAGGGGTGAGGCGAGGGGTCAAGAGATAGATTTGTGTGTCGTCGGCATAGAGGTGGTAGTTGAAGCTGTGAGAGTGTATGAGTTGTCCAAGGGAGGAGGTGTAGATGGAGAAGAGAAGGGGCCTGAGGACAGAGCCTTGTGGAACCAGAGAGGGAGAGTGAGGGGAGGCAGTAGCGTTATAGGTAACACTGAAGGAGCGTTGTGTGATAGGTAGGATGAGAGGCAGGAGAGAATGGAATCTCTGAGGCCAAGGGAGTGTAGTTTTTTGAGGAGGAGGGGGTGGTCGACTGTGTCGAAAGCCGCGGAGAGGTGAGGAGAGTGAGAGTAGGAGAACTGAATAGTGGCCATTAGCTTTGGCGGTTAGCAGGTCGTTGGAGAGTTTGAGTAAGGCGGTTTCGCTGGAGTGTAGGGGATGGAAGCTAGACTGTAGGGGATCGAGGAGGTTGTTGTTGTTGAGGTGGGAGCTTAGGCGATTGTAGACTAAGCGCTCGAGGAGTTTGGATGTGAATGGCAGCAGTGAGATGGGTCTAAGGTTGTTCGGGTCAGTGGGGTCCAGGGAGGGCTTTTTAAGTATGGGGGTGATGTGCGCGTGCTTCAGAGGGGAGGGGAATGTGCCGGAAGAGAGGGAGAGATTAAAGTTGTGGGTGAGGGAGCGTAGGATGGAGCAGGAGGGAGGTCATAGGAGTTGTGAGGGGACAGGGTCAAGGGGCAGTGGTGGGACGGGCTTCAGAGAAGACCTTGGTGACCTCCTCAATGGTAGTAAGGTCGAAGAAGTGGAGTGCTGAGGGGGCTTCAGTTTGAGGAATGTTAGGTGTGGTGGAGGTCTCAACAGTGGTGAGGCCGAGGGAGAGGGGTGATGAGGGGGTTGCTGTGTGAGAGGGGATGGGTGGGGAGGAAGTTTGAGCAGCGGCGATGTCCCTGCGAAATGCATCAATCTTGTTTTTTAAGTGATTGGCAATCTCAAGGGTGGTGAGTGAGGTGCTGGGTGGAGGTGGGGGCAGAGAGAGTAGAGAGTTGAAGGTGGCGAAGAGCCGGCGAGGATTGGAGGAGTGGGTCTTGATGAGGGTCAGGAAGTAGGCTTGTTTGGCAGCGTGGAGGGAGGAGGTGTAGGTGTGGAAGGCAGGTTTATAGCGGGTGAATACTAGTTGGGATCTGGTTTTGCGCCATAGTTGCTCCAGCGTATGACTGAGTCATTTGAGAGTTTTGGTGTGATCAGTCTGCCAGGGCTGGAGCGGTCGGGGTCTGATGTTTCATGTGGTTAAAGGCGTAGCGAGTTAAGGGCAGTTGACAGCGAGTTGTTATAGGCGGTGATGGCCAGGTCGGGGCGGGACAGGGGAAGGAAGCTGTCGTAAAGTTGATCAGCTGTAGAGTGGAGGGGGGCAGGGTTCAGGTTGCGGAGGTTACGGCCGGTAGTAGTATGACATTTGGAGGGGTAGGCGTTAGAGGATGAGGAGACAGAGAAGGTAATAAGGTTGTGGTCAGAGAGAGGGAAGGGGGTGTTTG